TCTTTCAATACTGATCACAAGTAATGTAACTAAGGATAGTCTATGCGAAACAGCCAGAAGAAGTTTTATAAAGAAATTGATTAACTGAATAGTTTACAAAAACGCAATGTCAGCATTAGTTTTTGCTTTTATTGGGGATGACTTTCTCAGTTATTATTTATTATTATTATTTTGTATATTTCGTTGTTTGCTGTGCTCATAAATAGCCCCGTTTGGTGCCGCCGAATCCATTAACTTGTCTTGATGTTTATGATAAATATTTTACTCTGCACTCTTTTGGAAACTGCTGAATGAGCTGCTGAAATTTTACAATTCTGTTGCGTTTATTCTGGCTATTTTCTTATCTGAGCATTGACCTTATATATATACTGGAGTAATTGTTTACTGACAGTTAAATTTGGACTATTTGATTGGTTGAATCTGGGTTCCTTTGTTTTCCACTCGGCAGCGAACAGTATAAACATTTCATATTTCATACCCAGTTATTTATTAGAGTTTTAGTTAGAAGAGCCGGCAACGAAATGTTTCATTACATTAAGTGATCTTCCCGCACACCTCTCGACGATGCTTCATTTTCAAATAAAAGGACAATAAGAGGCCGCTGTTTTATTTGACAGCAACCTAGATTTTCTGTTTGTCATTTGGAAGATACGATCTCTTCCAAAAAAATTGAAATATTCCTAGTTTTTCTCTGATGTTTTATCATTAGGAACTGCGTGATCTTGATATAAATTTGTCATCACAGTTTACCGGGTTCATTTGCTGCAATTGGCATTGGTTGCAGTTCAATGTTAGAAGGTGTTGCGCAAGATGCCTCGGGTTGACAGTTGCTCTTGGAAAGCACACAATCGTTTTTTGTGGCTGATTGAAAATCAGGCAGAAATATGCTTTTACTTGGATGATGTCTGCGCAATCCCAAGAAAAAGATCGAGAACTAATATCACAGCAAGCACTGTTTATGACGGATTGCTAGAACATATATTCCGAGAAGAATATTCCGAGAAGAATTTCACAGACAGTTGCTATTAGAGGAATCAACCAGCAGACACCAGCGACCCCTTCACGTTGCTGCAATCTGGATGCTACAGTCTACTGTAATGTTGCTCTGAATCTTTCAATGATGATTGCTAGTAATGCAACTAAGGATAGATCGACTCTGTGAAAGGTTTAAAAACACAATCAATTAATTAAAAACGCAATTCCCACATTATTAGTAGTATTAGTTTTTGCTTTTATTGAAGCTGATTGCCTTTAGACATTGTTTATTGAGTTGAACTTTGGTTCGTTTGATGGGTCGAATCAAATTTAATTTACCACCAGGCGGCAACTTAGTGTCGTTTTGATTAACTATGAACTTTTAGATTTATACCAGACTTACCATATAATGAAATTGCGCTAATGAGAAAACAGATCATATTTTTTTTTCATATTTTTTTCCAATGACACTTGTATGTAATTGAAGAGAAAGTGTCGATTTCTGGTAACCTGTAATCATTAGTCCCTTTTGCAGCTGCCTCGACTTTTGTCGAGCTTAATTCCTTCCCCTCCCAAAAGGTCTTTTTGCAAGGTCGAAAACAGAGAGTATTTTTCAGTATTTCCATTACATTTTTATTATTATCATGGCCATTTATTTATTCGCTACACAGCGTTATTTATTTTCGCCAAAATGGAGGGACGTATGTTTCTAATTTTTCTTGACCCGTATATATTATTTTCAGCCTCCAAACGTTTGTTACTCCCGCCATTAAGTAATTCAGTCTTAACGAAACCTACAGAGAAATTTTGCTTATTATCATATTGTGTCTTTTTGATGTTTATTCATAATATAATCTATTAGCTGTTTGAAATGGATATCGTAATTCGATTGGTACGGTTTKATACTTATACATTCTTTCTTCAAGTTGTTTCGCCCCGTGTATCTTCGCTATAAAAGCAATACTTCAGTTTCGAATTCATAGCGAATAACCTAGCCTGTGTACATCCGTTTCTCACCCCTCAAAAAATCGGGGAGAGAACGTCTGTGATTTGCCGTTGCTAATCGTGTTCCGAGGTCACGTAGAGTTCCTCAAGATTTTGAGGAAGAATTTGATTGGCTGTTGTATTTCAAGACTTGTGATTGGCCAAAATCAATAGATGGCGTGTAAAGTTGGTCACACGAGTGAAATATAAGCCTTCATGGTAAACCACTGGAACATGTAGAATGCTTCAAATTGAATATGTTATTTGCTCTCAAATTCTCTGTAAAAGTTTAGGCTTTAATCTTATATTCGGTCAGGGTAAATTTAAAATTGATGTGGAATTATAATGTCATTAGAATTCGCCGCCAATCTTCACGAACAAAACTTGCATTTGTCAGAAGTGCTAAAGAAGATAAGGGGGCTTAGTAGTTTGTATTCTACATCTCATAATAGCCTGCGAAAGCGACAGAGTTACAGCTTCAAAACTGCCGAGGACAACGTAATCTTCACAAGAAGATATTAGTACGGTTGATGGAAGTAATTGTATGACGCAAATTACAGGAAAACCACATTCTGACGAGACACCTACTACCGAAGATAGAGAGAGCACGGCATAGACCAATGGGCAGAAACAATAATTTAAACCACGGTCGAAGTTAGAATTGAATGGCTGAAACAAAAACAAAATCTCTAGGCATTATGTTCGAATTATGTTGCGGAACGGTCCATTGTTTACTTGACCTTTTAACGTGCCTGCTCAAGCTCTAACGTGCATGTCACATTATATATGCAAATTTATGTCAGAACACGAWTAGCAMCKGCAAATCACAGACGTTCTCTCCCCGATTTTTTGAGGGGTGAGAAACGGATGTACACAGGCTACGAATAACCTTGCAAACACAAAAGAGAGCACGAGAAAATGTCGTTATTACAATAGACTTGAGAATTTACATTTTCCCCGAGTTGAGATTATCCCTGTATTCCCATATAAGACCTAAGGTATGAGCAGGGTTAGCCTCAACTCGGGGAAAATGTAGATTCTTAGCGCTATTGYATYAACAACATTTTCTCGTGCTTTCTTTTGTCTTTGGTAAGTTCATTGCGTAATAGAATCTGCTGTCAAGTAAAACAGCGGTTATTCGCTTTGGACTCGAAACTGGAGTATTCTGTTATTGATTATTAGTCTGCATTCTCCGGTCAAATTAATTCGGACATCTTTATTGGTCATACTTCTGTGACCTTCGAACTCTTGGGTTAAAACTACTATATTTTTGAAAAGTCAGTTACCTACTAATGTTAGATAGGCATTAACGTTTGGTCTCTTGTATCGAATGTCATTTGCATTTATAATGCTAACATCACCAATACTGATTTGTGCAATCATTTTATGTATATGGGCTGTAATAAGTTACTAGCAACAGCTCTGTATCCATATTTACGTAAGAATACAATGACAAATATGTGATAAGTTTTCACTGATTTTAAACATAGTTTGTAGAGGGAAATGGTTAGGAAGCCTTTTGTTGTTAGGTTTTTAGGTTTTTTTTTAAGCGTGACGGTCATGCAGAATCTTATGTTTAACTATTGTTTTAKCCAATACTGGTCACATCTGAATGAACAGAGCGAAAATTATTCTTTTCACATTTTCTTCAAACACAAAAAATTTTAACCAATATTGAAATATTTCATTTCATAATCTCATAGAGGGTGTTAATGTTTAGTCATTTTGCAATTCTATCGTCCGTAAAACAACGCTGTGCACGGTCATGACTGATTCAGCTTCAAAATACGTACAAAAGATGCACAAAAGAAGTACAACAAAAGATTTCCAAACCATTCCCCTCTATTAACTATGATAGAAACCAACGAAGACCTTAACAAAGCCAGCCATTGTCTAAATGGGTCATTCAGCAAGTTCACAATGCTCGTGAGGATAGCCTGGGTGCTCGTGAAACGTGACATGTGCATCGGAGCTTGTACTCCCCCAAGAAATTTTGAAATAATAAGTATTGGAAATGCGATTTTCAGCGTTTTAAGGGGCATAGAGAGCATAAAAATGCATCAAATCCCGAAAATTTTAATATTTCCTTCCACTAGTACGCACGTGCGTGTATGCGTAAAGGACTCTACGCGCCTGAATTTAATGTTAGTAAGAAAGTCAGTTGAATAAATACGATTTTCATTAGTCAGTTAACTACTTTTTTTGCCAAAAATTCAGCTAACGACTAATTTCTAAGACAAAGTCAGTTAACTAATAACCCCATTGACACCCTCTATCATTTCACTGGCCAACCCGTTCTTTATACGAAGGGTTAAAATATTCTTTTTCAATTATACTTTAATAAAAACAGTTTTATTTTTAAGAATTTTTATTTTTATTTTTTGGTGCAATAATTTTTTCTTCTAGCAATAATACATTTATTTTTATTTTATTTTGATTGTTTTTCAAAAAACTCCTGCATGAAACTTGGCGCTTTATTTTTGGATTATATAYCATTGTATATATGATGATCGATAAACTTGAAAATTGTTGAAATTATAGCACACCTTGACCGCATACTCTATAGCTAAAAACTGATGAATCATTTTAAACCGCTCTTTATTTCGAAAATCTTTCAGTATAGATTTATACAGTTTTCATGCAGAAATAAAAAAAAGTAAAAAGATCGATACCGGTTGGCATGTTAAAAAATGTAAAAAAAAATGTAAAAAAATGTTGTTTGGGAGGAAACCGAACGCACGACAATAGTGGTGGTAACTGAACGTTGCGTTACCTAAGCACAGATGGTTGTTGGCGACGATATAGATATGATTTACGTTTTCTGGGTTTGCTCTCAGTTCATTGGCTACGCATGATTAGAGAAATCAAAACATTTCTTGTCGACAAAARGTRCTTGGAAAATTACCATATTCAGATATTATTGTCAAGACGAAACAGACAAAAACCTGGAAGCGATGATATTCGCGTCTCAGCAGACACTTACTCAGGTAAGGAAATTAGCGAGAAAAAATAGAACTTTATTATTTTACAGTAGTAGAGTAATTACATAGATATATATAAAGCTGTCTCTATTATATTCCTAAAGCTTTTACAGCGATTTGTAGTTCAACGGTTACCTGACAATATATAATAAGACGTTTTTGACTATTACAAGTTTGGCATTGCTAGTTTTATATTTTGCACTTTAAAAATAGCCGAAACTAGACAAATAAATCCAAGAATCCACAGTGATTCACAAGTCGAAAGGCCGACATCATGCAAAACGAGTAACTTGAACAAGACGGAACGAACCAGTCAAAGAGTTGCGTGATTCATAGACTTCATAGGAATTTATCTGTGATGTTGTCGACATGGATTGTATGTAGTATGCAGTAAATAAAATAATTCAGTTATAAAGTTCATGATTTTTGTAACGAAGACTAAGATCAATAGAGACATGTGTGCATTTTATTATTATTATGCTGATCCCTCATGACGAGTGAATGAACAGACTATTTGATTTATTAACAGGGCATCAGCCATTTCCTCAAATCTTTTTAAAAACTTGAGAAATTTTGGACTCCCGACTGATTGCACCGGAAGCCATCCAGGGTCACAGAGATGGTCTTTGGGGTGAATCACGCATTAGTTCCAAATTTACTAGGTTTTCTTTGTTATTCATAGGGTTGTATATATGATAGAAACTTAAAGCCGGCGAGGGATTTCATGTTCAGCAGGGAAATGTGGGGTCATCATCATCATTCTTATTATTATTATTACGCTGGCGTTCGGTTTGAATATTACGCTTCGTTTAATATTAATCATTTTCCTAAAAACAAAATTGTGAATTTCCTACCCCTTTCTAAAATATGTTGTTCTTTCCCAGGATTTTGAAGGTAATGGTCCAAAACCCAAATTTGATACAGTTTTCAATGAACATGCACTTTTCTTACCGATAAACCATGGATACACTGTCAAGCTATTTGACTGACCGTGACATACAGACTCAGTTACCAGAGAACAGTGAAGTAAGGAGAATTCAGCATGGGATAGAAAATGCTCTCAAAGTCATCATGGATTCTGTGCAGGCAAAGGATTCTAGATTAGTTGGTAAATTGATACCWGTGGGTAGCTACTATTCCGAACTTAAAATCGGTCTCCCGGATGAGTTTGACTTCATTTATGAGCTTCAAACTCTCGAGGAGGAAAGAGATTTTGAAGTGATGCCTTCTGGGTTTAAGGGGAGCAAAAATCTGTGGCGAACTCCAAAAGGGGATCCAGGGAAAAGGAAAATATTTGTCAAAAATCCTTCAAAATATTCTCTCAATTTTGATGACTCGGATCCTGCTGAATGGGTATATAGAGTTGGTGCAAGAAATGGGTTAAATAATCACGAATGTGTTCTGCATCCAGTGGGCGTGAAGAATTCATTGCACTTTGCAATATTAGATGTGCTAAGAGAAATGGACCACTCAAAACTTCATAGATATTTAACAGTAGATATATCTGAAGAGTGTACCTTCATTTATGGACCAGCCATTACTCTATTTTTCAATTGGAATGGTAGATTCTACAAGAACTTAAGCATTTCTGTAGATTTGACAGTTGCTGTCAAAGCAATGAAATGGGAATCTCATTTTGACTTTTCGAGACCACATTACATGGCCCCAGATAGCTGCTTAAAATATATTTTATTTGAAGAAATCTCTCAAAATGGATATCATTTGGTTCCAAACATATCAGACAGAGGTCACATTCAATGGAAAATTTCGACTTCATTTTTAGAAACCAGAGTTCTCGCAAGGTTTCCGAAAAATTCAACTATAAAACGACTCATCAGAGTTGTCAAGTCAGTTAAAGATCAACACTTGAAGTTGGCACCAAATCTTGACTTAATGAAAGACCAATCAATAGCAAATACTATCAGGTTTTATAGTTTTTATTTCGGAGAGGATTACAATGAGAGTTTCCATCATCTAGTTTCTTCCTATATAATAAAAACCTCTGTGTTTTCCTTGTGTGGATATGCTTCATTCTTGGAATGGAAGAAAACACCTCTCTCCAAACTATATTTGCTYATCCTGGTTTTTATGTATAAAGCTATCCATGATGGAAATCTAAGAAATTTCTTTATTTCGAGTCAAAAGTTGAAAATTCCAGCACTTTGCGACATTTTGCCTGGATTTTATAATTGTTTTCATGAAGCTGATGATAAAATTAGAGAGAATAATGCAGTCCTTCCAGCGGATGCTACTTCTATAACGTCCGGCTTTCATCAATTGGAAAGAGAACCATTTGACAATGATGCAGCTTTAACCATTTTCCAGATAACAAAGGAACATATTGATGAACATTTCAACGATCTCTGGAACAATTGAAATGAAACTAAAATTAACTCCAGAACATTGTATGTCTGAACGAACGATGTATTAATCAATCTTCAGATATCACTATAAGCTTTAAATACAATGCACCAAAAATGTTTTTTTTTTTTGGAAATATTTTTTTCCTTAAGATTTCGTGTTCCAACACCTTTGGAAAACCATCGATTAGTTAGCTAACCAAGCAAATAAATTTTTAAGAATCATGAGATCAATAAATCGTACATAACTTATGCAAAGTAACTTGAATACTGTCTAGACATTAACATCTTCTTCTTCTTCTTCTTCTTCTTCTTCTTCTTCTTCTTCTTCTTCTTCTTCTTCTTCTTCTTCTTCTTCTTCTTCTTCTTCTTCTTTTTCTTCCTCTTCTTCTTCTCCTTTTTTTATCATAAGTACGATTTCGGGTAAAAACCAAGATACGCAAGGTGGTGGATAAGTTCACCTATCTGGCCTCCACCATATCCAGAAACTTGTCCCTGGATGCTRAGCTAAACAAGCACATCGCCAGAGACCCTACAGCACTTGCTCGCCTCGGACAGCTTGTATGGAACAATTCCATGCTGACCATCAACACTAAGACAGCGGTATATATGTCAGCACGCTCCTTCACAGAAGCGAAACCTTGACCCTGTTCTCCGCCATCTCAATAACTTTCACATGCGCTGCCTCAGATGGATCCTTGGCATTAGTTGGCAAGACCGTGTCCCCAACAAGGATGTTCTGATGAAAGCAAGAATGCACAGCATGTTGGACCTGCTCAGCCAGGAGCTCGGAGACGACTTGTTACTCGTGACCAGGCCCTTGGCCGGGTCACAAGTCAGAAAATGCAGCGAGTTTAGTTTTGTTATATTTTTTTTTTCTATGTGAGACCTTTGTCTTCGGGCTGACCTTTGCGTCCCGAACGCATATCACATTACGAACTCGGGTGTACCTTTGTCCCCGATCGCACTCCGATCTCTAAACGAAATATCACATTACGAACTCGGCTGTAAACAGCGTATCATAGAACAGCAAAACTGCTCGGGATTTACTGTATCTTTTAAACTAACGAGATATAAATCAATACTTCGTAGATAAATGAAGCCCGTGGATGTGTCATACAGCACGCACTTTGAATTGAACAAATATTCTTCAAAACTCGGAATTATCGACTGTTGAGGTCAGACTCTGCCGCTTATTACTCATCTGAGTGTTTGGGATAGCGGAAAGTTTTCTGTTAAAGGCGAAGAGATCTCAAGTTATACGATCGACAGCTCTTCTACATACGAACCAGTACTCTAAATAATCGTATCATAGAACAGCAATAACTGCCCAGGATTTACTGTAGTTTTTTAGTAATTCTTTGATATTCGAGGCCTTTTGTTATTCCAAAACATTCATCTGTGTAAAATAAGAGCATGTATTAGGACATTGGTTTAGGTCATAAAGGTTGGTGTATCGAGCCAAATAGTTCATTTTCCTTGGCGAGATATAAACCGATACTTCGTAGCTGACTACGTGGCTGTCTGATTCTGAGTTGCATAGCCTATATTTTCTAATTTGATGAGGGGATTCTGTCTCTTCTGGTTAAAGAAAACRATGCTATTCACAGATGAGTATTCCTAGATGAAGATCATTGAAGCGATCATGTATGGTTATAGAGCGGGCCCTTCCTGTTTGCGAAGATCGCTCGCCACACRRCRYYGRGCTGTCTGATTTTGATACTGTAGTATACTTGACCTTAAATTACTACAATATTCTTACTATGTTTCACGCGAAAGACTATCAGAGTGAACGATTTGATTCTACGCTTTTAAAGATTTGTCAAAAAGTATTGTATATCTAGTTCCTTCAAAAGCTGCTTAAAATATTACATGAAAAGTAAAATAATGAACAAGGAGTTACTTCTTATAAGTATAGATGAACTGCATGTCTTAGGTTAATAGCACTATTCTTTACATCTAAACCAGATCCTCCTTAGAGCGTCAACTCGGTCGAACTATTTTTGAACATTGAGAAAGACAGTATATTACATGGTTGGTCAAACACAGGAAAAGTTTTAAATGAGCTCATTTTAAAAAAGTACTGAATAAGACATCACTTTTCAACACCTTTAGGTCACGAGTACACCCTGCTGTCAGGGTCTAGTTAACTGTATGGAAAATGGCTGAATACCAAAAGAAATGCTGTACGGAGTCGCTCCAGACCTGCAGGAAGACATGTTCTCCGCTAAAAAGACGTTTTAAAACGAGACATGAAGGCAGGCACATCAACCAAACAGGCTGAGAGAATTAAAGTGGCTGCAGACCGCAGTAGCTGGAGACACCCTGTCAAAGGCATTCAGCGCGAGAAGAGGAGAGAGGACCGGTTGGAGGAGAAAGCGTGAACATTACTTGTGACAACTGCAACAGACCCTGCCTCTCACAGTAGGCGCTGTCACTTAATCACAAACCGATCAAACCCGACGGAGGGATGCCAACAGTCCGTTTAACTTAAGTGAATGGCAAGTTTTATAATTTGCATTCAAACACAAGGAATCAGCACTTATTTACATGAGATATGGTGCCCTTAGGTAATACCTAGTGCCCCTATATCATAAATAGGGATTCAAATGCAATCCTWGTTATTTCACTCGGCAGGCGCGTAGCGTCCTTTACGCATATACGCAACGTGCGTACTAGTGGCAAGGAAATATTATAATTTTCGGGATTCTTTTTTATATAATTGTCTCGATGCCCCTCAAAACACTTGAAGTGGCATTTCTAAGAGTTAGTATTTCAAACTTTCATGGGGGAGGACCCTCCGCACCCACCTTAATACTCCCACCTTCAGCGATCGTTAGTCCCCCCAATCCAAAATATGTGTCGCGGTCACTTTAATGTCAAGAAAAAGTCCTATGCTGACTCGACCCAAAACAA